TTTACAATTGATGAATTAAACGATGTTATCCAAAAAAACAACTCAACCCCAGGTCACGATAACATTCCTACAAAATTCTTAAAAATGTTGTCTAATAGCTCTAAATTAAAATTACTTAATATCTTCAATATCATGTACTGTACAAAACAACGTCTTTTCCCCGACTCCTGGAACACAGTTATTCTAACAATGCTGTGCAAAAAGGGTGACAAGTCCTCTCCACATAACTATAGACCTATTGCTCTGTTATAAATGCTAAGAAAATGCTTTACTTCTATGATGGCAAACAGATTCCAGCAATGGACTAAAATCAATAACTTAGAAGCTAAATTTCAATATGCCTTCACAAAAAATAAAGGAACCGAAACTGCCATTTTCATTCTATTAACGATAATTCAATTACATCTTAGGAAAAAACAAAGGAAAGTTTACGCTGCATTTATTGACATCAAAAAGGCTTTTGATTCAGTTTATACTCCTTTATTAATAAACAAATTAAAAGTTAATGGGGCTAGTCACAGATTTATGTCTACAATAAACCAGCTATATATACATTATACTGTGAAAATCAAGCAAGGTAATAACCTTACACCTTCTTTAAGCCTTTCACGTGGAATACTACAGGGAGACCCACTGTCACCTTATTTATTTAATTTTTATCTACTGGGTATCGACAATTATTTAACAATCCTGATGGCATTGAAATTAATAATAGCTCCTTCCACTACATTCTTTTTGCCGATGATCTTGTTATTATAGCCCCAAATAAAGTATCTTTACAACGTAAAATTAATCAACTCAATAACTATCTTAAAACAATTTACCTTGAAATAAACCCCGAGAAAACTAATATCGTCATTTTTCGTAAAAATAAAAAATTATCTGAAAAAGACTCAAAAATTTATCATGAAAATACTTTATTGTAAATAACCAACGAGGTCAAATATCTAGGGATTGAATTCGATTGGAATTTAACTTTCAAAACCCATACGACAAAATTAAATAACAAAGTGAAGAAAGCAATTGATAATCTAATATTTTTATGTTCAACTATGAAAATCTCAAACTTAAATATCCATCTGAAACTATATAATACTATAATAAATCCTATCATCTATTATGCAAGCCCAATTTGGGCTTTGGATTATCTATATAAGCTTGAAACACTGCATATTTATTTTCTTCGTAAATTATTTCAGCTAGAAAATACGTCATTCGACATGAAACAAACCGTATTTGGACTTTTCCACATTTACTTAAACGTATTATAAAATTCTATTACAGACTTAAATTTAAAAGTGATGATAATATTGGTTTTTTACTTCAAGAAATGATAAAGCGCGGTAAAAACAACAACAATACGCAATTATGGCAATACAAAATTCATAAATTATTAAACACGTTCGGAGTGTCGGAATTATTTTTTACAAACACAATTCAAAATTGGAAATATGGATATTCCCTCTTAATAAGCTCTGCGATATCACAATCAATTAACAAAGATCAGATTTCTCTAAATCAAAGTAACTACCGCCCCTGGTATATTAATATTCTTAACATTCCCTCTTTTCAACCTTATATGTGGTTACCAATAGATCTAAATGTTAAACGATTAATTATTCAGTTACGACTCAATAAATATGCACCGTTCGTCAATAAAACTTACATAAATCTCTCAAATACTCGTCAATTATGTCAATCTGAACATTTTTCTGTACTCCATCTTTCGCAAAATTGCCAATCTCTAAATAATCTGCGAAAACAATATGATATAATAAATATATGTAATGGTAGTTCGTGTCTAGACTTCAAAAATAACTTAAAAAAATATCAACAGAAAAAATGCTTATAGAATTTATAATTTTTTTGTCAAATACACTGAAAAAATTACTTTGTAATATCAAATTATTTGATGTATATTGTTGTTTTAAACCATTGTTAATGTTTTATTAAGTTACTTTACGTTTGTATTATTTAAATTCACCAAATAATGTCATTGTTATTTAAGTGGTCTTGCTAGACCATGTCATGTTATAATTAATACACTTACTTGCAAAATGTATATTAATCATGTAGACCGAAATAATATTTGTTTTGTGAAATTGTACTCCCCCTTAATTACTTAAAAGGGAAAATTTCCCTCAGAAATAAAATTATTATTATTATTATTATTATAATCAAAGTTGATAAAACCAAACAACTTGAAATAATGGATAATAATAATAATAATTTAAGGAATAAAACTATAGAACAAATAAATAATGACCAATACGTTAAACTAAATAAGAACCCATATGATAAAATAATAATATAAATGATAATGATAAAAATTATATACTTAATTTTAAAAACAACAGGACCCCAAAGTTACAAATCAGGTTAAAGACACACAAACAAGAAGAAAAATATAGACCTGTAGTGGATTTTCGTTACTCAATACTTTACAACTTAGAAAACTATATCAAAAGACAATTAAAACCCATACAGGGTTCTAAGAATAGCATAAAAAATGCAGATGAAGCCATAAATAATATTCAGAAAATAATAAAAGAAAAAAACTGATACGTTAATAAACTTGGATGTTAAGAACATGCACCCTAATATAAAGTGGAAGCTAATAGAAACAAGCCTAACGGAGTTACAGGTAGATAAAACATTAATAGACCTAATAAAATTTGCTTATACCAATAACTATTTTGAGATAGACAATAATTTTTACCGACAAATCGATGGGGTTGAAGACGGGGCCAAAACTTACCGAATTACTTATGAAAAGCATAGATAAAAAAATACAAAATATTCCTGGTGTGTAAATTGTTATTATTTAGATGACTATTTATTAATTTATAACAACAAAATAACTAATGATAAAATAATATTAAATAGAATAAATAATATGAATAAAAATATAAAATTTGAGAATGAATTAGAAAAGCATAACCAAATAAATTTTCTTGATATTACAATAACTAATGATATAGATAAAGTCTCATTCAAAACATATAAAAAAAACCTTGTAATATAAATAAGACCATCAACTATCACTCTTACACACCTGAAACCATAAAAAAGAATGCTTATATGATGGATATAAAAAACATATATACCAGAACTTCTAATAACACTGGAATTAAAACAATTAGATAAAAAGTTTACCTTGAATAATTACCCCATGTATAAGTTAAAGAATTGGCATAAACAGTATTATAAAAATAGATTTAATACTAAATATAAAACCGATAAAACTTACAAATCCTTCCCCTATATTAATGATATACACAATAATTGTAATAAAATTTTAAAAAAAGATAATATAATTTTAGCCCCATCCCTAACCGACAAAATTTCACACAACATCCATTCCGAGAATATAAAACACAACACTAATGTAGAAAAATTTTAAAAAATTGGGGGTTGTTTATAAAATCAGTTGTGATTGTCAAAGCCCAAAAAATTGTATACGTGAAACAGGTAGACAATTGGAATTAAGAATTAAAGAACACGAAGCTGCGATGAAATTAAAACACAATTATTCCTCTTGGTTTAATCATACAAGTAATAGTAATTGTCAGATTGACAGTAGCAACATAAAAATACTTCATTATGAAAAATAAATATATAAATGTAAATTCAAGGAACGTATTAAAATAATAAAATATAGTAATGATAACTTAGTGAATCTATCTAACGGTATGCAAATCGATGAACAGTGGTATAAGTAATCTATAATGGTTGTGTCGTGTGCTAGTTACAAATGTGATACTGTGGATAATAGAAATGAAAACATTATGTATGTGTGTTTTTTATAATTGTCAAATTATTTACTTATAATTTGTAAAACCGTTATTTTTATTACAGTTATTCTGATAGTTTTAAAGGGTAAGCCATGTTTTAATAAAAAATACCTTGCATGGTATAGTCATGTATCGGAAAATATCATGTTGTTACTATAGTGTTGTGGATTTATAAAAAGTGTATATCTACGGATTTTAATGTCAATTTTTCTGAACCTTTGTACTATTGTCACCCGATATACACTCATGTTTTTATATTAAAAAACATAGCTAGGAGTACCATATAAGTGTACCGGTATAATTTGAAAAGCACTATTCTGCTATCTGAGGTATGTGTAAAATTATTTTTGTGTGTGTAACAATCATCTTCACGCATGAATATTCGTGAATTAACTAAGTTTTTGTTCCTTTTAATATGTAGCATTACACTGAGAAGGGACTTAGATACTGCATAGGCCTGAAAGGCATTTGTAAATTGAAATAAAGGAGTACCTAACCTGATAGCTGTGAGGAAGTCTACCGGATTTTATTTATTTATTTGGATTAAAGAAACATACATTCAAATTACATATATAACAGCTACCACATTTGACATTGAGAAGAATATTAGTTCCCTCAGTTTTGCAGCATGCTATATTTAATAAGCCCTACCAAAAACACAAATACTCTTCTCTTGTCATGACAAATATATGTATAGATTTACATAACATAAAATATAAGCATAAAGTTAAAAAAATATTAAATAAATGTTAATGTATTAATAGAAAAAAGGAAGCAGTTAGCATTGCCTTACTGTCAAAGACCTTGCCTGATCTTCAAACTCAACCAAGTTTAAACGCTGGGAGCCAAAACAACAGACCCCGAAGACTCAAGAAAATCTGTGCAACTAAAAGCTCAAAAATTTAAATTTGGTATATATAGAGCTAATCCCTCTGTCATTGCCCATCAATGAATTCTCGATGAAAAGATTTATAATTATACACAATTTTAATTACTGTTCATTTAGTTTAAAAACAAACAAATATTCTGGAAAAGGTTGTTAATCCTGCACCTGGTAATCTAGAACTGGTTCCCAAAGTGTGGCTCGCAACTCCGGGGTTGCGAGAGGTTTTTACGCAATACAAAAAAAAAGGCCTTAACGCACATTTATTTTGTATTTACAACAAAAAGTTAGTATCCAAAAAACGAGCACATGTTTAACATTACCTCAAATATAGGTTCTGTATTTGAAACACAACATTTTCAAGTTCAAGGTGATTTCGTACTCTGTTGATGGCAGTCATCGACCAGACCGGCATTATTAAAATAGTATTTATAAGCAGTCCTGTAAAAAAGACAAAAGCAATATCTGTGTTAAAAATGAGAAAATTTCATATATAAACAGAATTTTGAATGTTTACAGCTGAGTCTCCCTATGCTCTGGCCAAACTTACGACTATACGCGATCGAAGTGGCAGAAATATTTATTAAACCAGTATAGCAGCATTAGAGCTATTGGCAGCACAAGGACCAATATATCTATTGACTCTGGTATTAATCATTAAATTCTATGTGGTCTATAACTCGGCTAGAGTGCAAGTTTAGCTTAAACGGTCAAAGTAATTAAAAAAGAAAATATGTTACATCGCTAAGTATTGAATTACCATAATTAAAATACACCTAATCGACACTGTCTAGAGGTCCAAAAGCCATCAAATCGACATCGATATAAATACATCCGGCATTGTTGTAAGATTTGTTTACCTCCGTGACGATGACGAAATAGAAATCGGAGAACATTTTTTAGGGTTTTATTGTATTATTACTAACTCAACAGGCGAAGGTTTGACAAATTTTGTTGTAGATTTTTTTGCAATAGGAAAATATAAATGCAGTATTTACGATTTACGTGCTTGAGCGTACAACACAAAGGGCAAAAATTGGGGTCTTCAAAAGAGATTACTACATACGAGCCCAAAAGTGTTTTACATGCCATGTACGGTTCGTACGCTTAATTTTGTTGTAAATGATGGTGCATAGATGCTGGAAAAGGGTGATTTCGGCCATTCTACACCCCCACCCACCCGTGTAAGAAATCGTAATATTTTCTTTGATTCCCCTTCCCTTCCCTATCTTACATAAGATTTTAACAAAAATAAATTTTTTTTATGAAACCCCGAAAACCTTAGGTTCAAAATATATAATTATTAATTAGTTAATTAATATGTACTATTATTTATAAAAGAATTTATGTGAACAGATTTAAAAATATAAAAATCTAATGAATTCGAGTGAACAATTTATTTTAAGAACTTCACTTTTTTAATTATTAACAATCTTTTTATTATTAGCCTATTATCGTCGATCAACGTCATAATATTCATTTTTATATTACTGTAATTTTAATTTTCACAAAAGGACGCAAAAAACTAACAGATCGACTAGCGAGTGCACGCGTAAACAGAAATGTCATACAAAATAAAACGAGAGAGAATAGAGAGAAACATTCCGTTGCCATATTGATTACATCTTGGCTAAGCCAAGAAAATAAACTACACACTGCTAAAATGTGCTAGTTGCACCTGGAGACTAAATCATAAAACTTGTAAAACTTTATATAATGGGCAATACAACCAATGCTACTTTACACGGCCTCTAGCCGGTCACGTAACTAGTAAAGTAAGTAAATTACTCTCTCTTCAAAGACAGTTTGTCACCAAGTGCTGCAGAACTGCTTCTACTAATGCCTCTCTGATACTAGCAGAGCTCCTTCCTATGCCACTATGTATTGTAGAAAAGGTTCTAAACTACTACATCAAGGCTCAACAAGTCTACTCCTATGTATGGCTGTTTATATGCTAGCGCATTGCAATTACTTTACTATCTGTGATCATCACCCTGTAAACAAGGTTATCCCCAGGGTACATTTGGTGTCATTCGCTTCCTCCACGAATAACCATACAGACATTAAATCTGTTAAATAACGTTACTAGGGTAAAAGTAATATTACTTTGTAAAATTCTTTCATTATATTTGTCCATTTTTTTTATAAAACTCGTCCCTACCCTCAAAATTAAGCTTTTTATATTATTTATAAAATGAAGAAAATTTTTAAAATAAAATATCGTAACAGATGGCGCCCAAAACTTTACTTAGGTAGTCCCAATGGCAGCACTTCCGGTCGCCATTTTGTTTGTGAACGCGACGTCCACAAACAAGATGGCGACCGGCGTAGCTACTTACTACACCGAAATTAAAGAAAAAAAAAACAACTTTCACTCACCTTTGAAATATTTCTAATTCGTTTTCTCTGATTTATTCGATAAAAAAACATGGTTCGGATGATTCTTTTTAATAACTTCATCCTTTTCTATTGTAGAAACTTTTTCCACGTTCTTAACACAATGTCTACATTCTTCCTCTTACGAAACTTTCCAGGTCCATCCAATTTTCATTCCGGTAAAATTAGACTATGAAAAACAATCACAATGTGTCGTATGAAATTCGTCCAGTTTCAACAGCTGTTCGACTACTCACGCCCACAGCCAGACAGATGACGCTCAATGTACCGTACATTCTATGCAAATTAGATGCCAAATAAACATAAAAGTAATTTCCCAAGAAATTTTCCTAAAATTATGTTTAAATGTTGCTCTTTCGATAATTTAATTTACGACGACCATTACATTTCGAACGAAGTGCATCTGCGGGTTGCATTCCAAACTTAATGGCAGACACAACAGCTGATGAAACTCTCTTGTCAAAATTAAATTCGGGATATTCCGATACTAAAAAATGAAAACAAATCCTTTGAATTACACTTTTGACAAGAATATTGTTGATGTTTCCAAACTCCGTCATTACAACGATATTCCGGAAGTGCCGCCATATGGACTACCTAAGTAAACTTCTACCAAATTTTTAAAATAAAATATCGTAACAGATGGCGCCACCACAATTTTGAATACTTTTTCCGGAAAAGTTACGAAACTCGTTGCGGGATTTCTTTAATTGACATTCAAAATTATTAAATCTTTTTTTTTAGATAAAATAAATATACGATCTGTATGAAATTATCTCCATAACTAATAGACGGCGATATATCTGTTGGTGAGCCTACATACTACTGAAGGAGAATGCCGATATATAATAGTTATGTATATTATTTTAAAATCGAAGAGAAAAAGTAATAATTTGTACTTCATTAACACATATTTCCGAATATATAAAACATTAAATAATAAACAGAATTCCGAATAATGAAAATGCGCCATCTGTTACGACTTTTAAGAAAACGAAGTTATTTTTTTTTACGTCCACGTGACGAAAACACGAGTGACATCATTAATATGGCGGCGCTCTTGGGAAGTTGTCCACGATTGAATTAGCGAAAGATGGATAGCGGACGATTGTGTTTTTTGGGTGCTCTGACTGCAGTTTTGATATCTGGCGTTTATATATTATGGGGTCCAACTCCTAAACAGAAGAAAAGAAGGAAAGGTAATTTTAATGCAAAGTCCTTGAGTTTTGTACACAGAAACTAATCAGTTACATCATGTGAGATCAATCTGTTTCGCTTTGTATACAAAGATAAGTAATTCAATTAATTGATCGATTAATTATGTTTTTTTTTCTCATTAAAAAATCGCATTTAATCCAAATTAATTAATTAAATTTAAAATATTTTAAACATTGTACATACATTTAATTATAACACAAGTTTTAATTTATTGTTTATTAGTAAACATTGTGAAAAGTGTGTTTATAGAATTTTTAATAAAAACATGAATTTAGAACTTTTTAGAATGTAAAATACACTTTTTTTTGAGAATTTTATTATGTTCTAGATTGAATGAATAATTAAAATTCTTCTAGGCATTATAATTAAACAATGAACTTATATGTTTGAGTGAGTTTGTATATTATATATACAGTAGATCCCCCTATAAAACCGTTTCCTATAGTTATGATTCCTATAAAAATTGTGGCATTATCCGTAAACAACGGTAAAAATAACTCCTATAATACGTAAAACGTCATCGGGCAGCCGAACTACTTACCCGCCGTCCGTAGCGCCACGCTACGGAGAGATTTCTATCGTCTGGACAGTATTATATAAATTATATATAAATTAGGTACTGTACATATAATTATATATTAATTATATATAAATTAGGTACTGTATATATAATTATATATTAACTTAATTTATTGTAACTTTATTATAATTAAATATATATTTTTCGCCGTCTAGCGTCACGCTACGGCGAGTTAGGCGACCTATCGTCTGTTTAGTACTGTAATTTTATACATTTCTTGTGAAAGAAACATTTCTTATTTAACGGCCATAAAAATTATTTATATTAATGATGTCTCCAAAGGTCAACGAAGTTTTCGCAGAAAAATAATATCAGAAATNCGATCACACGATTGATCGTTGTTAAAAATTCCCTGTTATAGTTACCCAAACGTGTACCGAATTGTTACGTGATCGAAACTAATGTAGAAAGTAGATTGTGTCGAACATCGGTATCTTTCATGTCGTTAAACAACCAAAACACGAGTCCTTGGCACCGAACGGGTAAGAAAAGTGTCGTGTGACACTACAACGTTATCCCGTTTTGTTTATCTTTCATCCATCTTCGTTTCGGATCCAACTCGGCTATTTTTAGCCATTTTAACGTCAGATTTTCTACATCAATCTACCTCGAATTAACGCCGACAACCGAATTGCCACGCGTGACCATGTATTAAAAAAACTAAATTATTCGAAAAGCACGTGATGATTGGGTTTCTTTCGTATCGAACCATTTCAACAGCAAAGTTGTCACTAAAGGATATACCTTTAGCAGAGTACTACGTCGAAAAATACTTCACGAAGAAGTGAAGGGTATTGCAAATCAAGTAACCACGAAGAACCATTCGTATAAGAATTTCATTAAAACGCGATAGTTTCGAACAAAATTTCCTATTAGATAAATAATTTATGTAAAAATATTCTAACATTCATCTAGTAAAAGTCATAAATTCCTCATTACTTATTTTCCCTAGAGGTTATTTACTTACATTTACATTTCCTTTCCCCTTTGTGACAATGATTTTGAGTTAAAAAAGAAAGACAAGTCAATATTGTACGACCATTTTAAATATTCATTTTGAAATTTAAGTTGTTAATTTATATATATATAAATATATAATATAATTTAATTTAATACACTTTGCATTCCTGGTTCTTATATGTACAAATTAAAACGTCAGGTTGATTGAATCTGATATTTAGATTAATGCCAAATGATTGCCAGATTGTATCGGGTTATATTAATAATAGCATTAATATAACCTGATGTAATATTAGTTCTTATATAAGACAATTTTTGATAATGCATCTCATAACATTTCAACTAACCAGAATTAACTAACCAAAGAATACTAAAACAATTCATAGGGATTGTATTAGAATGATCGTCGTAGAATAATGTTAAGTATGTCGTATTAAAAACATTTTTAAGAAATATAAATTTTAAAAGTTTTCTGACAATGTCCTTACTGCAACAGACATTTTAAAAAATTTTTAAGTTTTAAAAAATAATTTAATTTAAACTTTAATATATGTTTACCTTATCTATATTTATACTTTTAAATTAAAGTTATTTTGAAAAATAAATTATAATAATTACCTTAACTAACATTTCCTAAAGGATTTTAACATTTTTTTAACGTTTGGTTTAAGTAAATCTCATGAAGAATATAGAATATTTTATTCATTTTACTTTTCATTAATATATAGAATGCTTTTAGAATGCAGTACATAAAATTACAATATTTTTAAAATTTTGTAAACAATTGGATGTTTGAAACATTCCAATTTGGAATTTCAGAATGTCATACTTCCGATCTGAACCTGAGGCAGGTTTATAAAATAAACCAAAAGTTTTCATGTTTGTTTAATGATTTTGGAAAAGTCTAAATGGTTTTGATTTTAGAGGTTATCTGTTTTAGCTTTGTTACTGGATTTTAGAATAAAACAAAATTTTTTTAAATCAATTTTACTTGTTTTCTGTTTTGCTTATTGCTTTAAATATCTATTATTTTCTTATTTGTTTCTCATTTCATATTGCTTCTTTTATGTTGTATAATCTAATCAACAATTTCATTTTATTTTATTTCATTTAAAATGATTGGCTAATAGGTTAAAAGTGTTTCAAACTAATTAACAAGGATGAACTAATCACTATAGTTAATCTGTTATCTCCAATTATTTATTGCATTTGGAGAATGTGAGTAAGGTGAATGGATTATGCTTGAACTAAGTACAATTTTCAACAATAAATAATGGAAAATTTCATTCGAATTTACAGAATTTGTAGGAACGAGGAAAGTATATAAATTGGGGTTACACTGTTGATTATTTGTTTATAAACAAAATCACATTATTGTTAATAATATCAATATTAAATTAATAAACAATAAATTCTTCAATTAAATGCAATAATTTTGAAAACTTTATATCTAGTGATACATAATATCAGTAGTTATTGGATGTATATTTTTTATCCATTGTTATCAAGTGATTTAAAGTACCAACAAAGTACCTGTACATGATGTGATTATATTATAAATATGCCACTGTCATTTAATTATTTGAGGGTTATATAAATTAATAATAGTATATTAAAAAAATATAGTTATAATAATACATTACATTTTAATAACACAAAATATTGAAAAAAATGCAAAAATACATTATATTTTAATCAATTAAGTTATGAATTTTATGCTATTATTTGTTCTCATATGTTATTGCATGTTCAAAAAAAATATGTATGTATATATTGTTTATTAAGAATTTATTGGAGACCAGATATATACAATCAACTTGTAAAATTTTAATCTAGAGATGCTTTAGTAGAATAGTATTAAAAATGCTACAGCATCTTATATACCATCTTAAATCTTACATACTATCAAATATACTGATGATAAGATTGTCTTCTACTTTCACTTTCACAAAGTGTATGCTATATCATTTTATCTTCATTGTCTCTAATTAAAATGAGATTAAGATTAAATAATAAATAAATCTGAGATTTTCATTTCAATATCTTTAAAATGACTTAGTATTTGCCTACTACTTGTTACCAAACATAATAATAATTATACTTTAAAGGAATACTAAAAAATATTTGGTTAATGTTACCTATGGTTCCAAGATGGCGGCAATTAGGTTAGGTTAGGTTAGGTCAGATCAGTGTTTTTCATCCTGTGGGTCGCAACTCCAAGGGGGGTCGCAAAGCCTTACACGGGGGTCGGGGGAAAAGAAAAAGACAAGTGTTTGTAGGTCCTACACTACAATAAAAAAAACTACAGTCTCAGTGAGAAGGCTGTGCCTGTTTATTTTACAGTACAATTGGTGTTTAGATCGATATTTAGGTCTCAACAGAAAAAATCTTAGATACTTAGTTTTTAAAATCACCAACATAGTTTTAATATGGCCCTGGGGGGGTCACCAGAATATTTTAACTTGTAAAGGGGTCGCTTATTCAAGAAGGTTGAAAAACACTGGGTTAGATTAACTATATTTTTAGTAGACATTTATTTATTTATTTATTTTGTTCAAGAACTACCATGTTTCCCCGAAAATAAGACAGTGTCTTATATTAATTTTTGCTCTGAAAAATGCGCTAGGTCTTATTTTCAGGGAATGTCTTATTTTTTCCAGGAAGAAGAATTCACATTTATTATTGAACAAAAAAATTCCCAAGTCAAACTTAGACGAGAGTGATGTATATCCAGTGTGTCGAACTGTCGCCTTTTTATAGCGTCAACATCGGACTCGATGACCAATTAGTGCTTACTGAACCATAGCACTATGCAAATGTCATGTGGCGTGATTCCCGGCCGACCAATTAGCCATCCCCAGCCGTAACATTATGCAAATCTGTGATTACCAAGCCATAGTCTTATGCATATCATGCCGTGTGGCGTAATTGTCTGCTGACCAATCAGTGGCTGTACTTTCAAAAAGCCAATGGCCACTTTCAACCATCTGTCGATGACCGTTACGACTAAAAAAAAACTTTGCTAGGTCTTACTTTCAGGGGGAGGTCTTATATTTTGCAATTCAGCAAAATCTGTGCTAGGTCTTATTTTCTGCGGATGTCTTATTTTCGGGGAAACACGGTACTGTTAATCAATAACTAGTGACGTGCGGCAGCTCTCCTCTGGGAGGAGTCCATCTGGACTATGAACAGTCAGAAGCACTGCCATCTTGGAACCAAAGGTAACATTAACCAAATATTATAGGCATAGTTGATTCATTAACCTGTGGTTATCAAACTATGGCCTCTGGTCCAAACCTGGCCTACAAAACATATTAATCTGGAGTCAAATATATCACTGGTAACAGTTATAATTGCAATCACAGGCAGATTCAAACATTTTCTTACACATCAGTATTTGCTTATATTTTGATAGATTAGAACACAAAATGTTAAAATATT